AGTTTGAGAGTACATACATGTAATAATAGACCCCCTCTATTTTTAACTATTGCTTGCATCAGTTCTCTAAGGTTGTCTGGAAGAGATCACTTTCAAAGTGATAAGACCGCCTGTTGTACATATTCTACTTTAGATTTAACTGTACTCGTTATTTTGTTTTTTGGTGTACAATAAAGAATAAATAAATAAACAGACAAATAATCATCATCATCATTACAGCCCTTCACAAGTCCACTGCTGAACATAGGCCTCCCCCAAGGAATACCACAAAACACGGTCCTGAGCCACATGCATCCATCGACTTCCTGCATATCTTAAGAGGTCGTCACTCCATCTTGTGGGGGGACGCCCAACACTTCGCCTGCCGGTACGAGGCTGCCACTCGAGAACCTTTCTTCCCCATCGGTTGTCGGTTCTTCGAGCTATATGGCCGGCCCATTGCCACTTCAGCTTTAATAATGCTTCAAATAATGTCTTCTGTCAAATAACATAAAATTAATATAGTAGGACCAACGTTATTGGCCATGACTGTAATTGTTTTATGGGCTAGGGTACTATAGGGATATAGTTAGTTAACATTCTGAAAATTTTTCACGCATATACACTGGAATGCTTATGTTGTAATGATCTCATGAAAGTATAATTTAATAATTTATCACAACCTATGTTTTAAATTATTAATCCAATATGAACATTATACGATGTCGGTTACATTTGGAAATCACTTGTTTTAAGTATCTCTTCTACGATCATATAGCTAAATATAGGTCAAAGCTATATCTGGGAAATTTCTACAAAGCACTGGTATTTCCAAGAGGTACACTTATTTGTTTACAAAGCTTCTTTTAGTTATAAACGGAAACTGTAATAGTTGCGTGTGTGTCCTTTCTTTTTTATCAGCACGTAAAAGTATATCTTGGACACGGGTCACTCTTACTGTAAAGAACTTTTGCTAAGACTTATCAAGATTTAAACATGCTGGCGTTTACATTTATGATTGTAAAGAGCACTCATATTTAATAAGAAAGTAGACTGGGTGGCGATTAAGTTATCACATTGAATAACACAGAGGTATTTACGAGTTCATATACATAATTCTGTTAAAATAATAAAAAATAAAATAAACTATTCTACCAAAAATAAAAAATGCATCGTTCAAACAAAATAAATAGCGTAGAAATTGACACGAAATAAATCACCTTGATAATATTAGTTTACTGACCTGAGTGACCTGAAAAGCGGCAACGGTGCGCCAGGTGCCCTGTGCTCACGCGGCATCGACATAGGTAATTATACTACACTTTCCCATTCATAAATAATTAGGCAAAAAACGAAAAAAAGGGCTACCGCGACTAGAATGTTAATTGTTATATATATTTTTAGTAGTGTATATTCAAAGAACGTTACGTAGGATAAATCTTTTCATTTAATGTGATAACTTTATCGCCACCCCGTATATTAAGTTTATATTTGATATTAAGTGTAGTTAAATCATACTTACCTGTGGGATTTCGTTTAACTATAGACATATTTTCGAATCGATTTAGTGCCTCATTTTTGGTAGCCAAACATTGTTCCCCTTTCTATCCTCCACAATGTAAAAAGGTGATGTTGGGTTTTGCAGAAAAACTGGACGACTGTAACGATAAAATTTATTAACGCAATTTAATAAAATCTAAACAAAAAAATTCTGAATCCTGGTATATCAGATCTAAGTGGGAAGACATTAAAAATTTGTTTGAAATATTCGGTATATTCAGACTTCCGGAAGTAAATGTCCACCGCGATTTCTCATTGCGGACGGTAGACTTCACATGTCTTCGTAATATGTTTGTAATTTTTCGCTTATGAATGAAATTGACCATTTTGAAACCATACTGAACTAATCACGTAGCTATTGAAAAAAGGTCTCAGCTAGGTTAAGAAAATTTTCACAGCATATTTTCCAGAGGCTAATCTAAACCATTTTAACATAAAAACTGTTGTACCTAACTACTTATTTATGTGTCTTGTAGAAAATTTACACGGGTTTCATCTTACAAATCTTTGATTAGTAGGTTGAAATGGTTTTTCTTAATTCATTTATTAATACTGGCAGGTGAAGATGATAAAACCTCTACGAACTCGCTTAGAAAAGCATGAAAAAAATAAAAGATATGCATGCATTACTCAAAGGAAATAACATTTTTAGCAGTTGTCAAATTTAGAGTATTAATATTTTCTTTTTTTTAAGGGAAAGAGAAAAACAGAACAGAAGGAGAAAAACATTCAAAAGAAACCTTGTCATCCTCAACAAGGTGTCTTTTAAACAATACTTTCCACAAATGGCGTTTTTGTTGGTCGCGGTGTTCGGTCTCAAATGTCGACCTAAATGGACATAGTTACGCATAAAGAATTTACCCGCAAAAGCTACTTTTTAGATATTGACGTTTGAAGCTTTTTATATTCAAAATGAAAATGGCTCGGTTCGATTTATTTGTAATTTTGCTAGATATCGACTGCGAATTGCCGAAAAGTAAAAACAACTTCAGCAATTGTGCTTGAAATTGTGTTTACTATTGAAAAAAATATAGTATAAACTAAACTATTTAGATGATCTATAATCGCCTTAAAATTACAAAACATCTAATTATAAATGAGTGATCCCAAACTGTCAAAATGTAATATATCTTTGGTAAGATATAGCAAGGCCACTGTTACCTCACAGACGTGGAAGTCAGAGTCCTTATCGTACACGTAGACGTAAGTAGTTACATTTTTGACGTATTAGGGTACGAATACATCAAAAAGTAGTACAAACGAATTTAGGTATTCGAAAAATTTTGTAAGTAGATTTTTTTTAGTTTGAGTATTTTTCAAACCTTTTTATGTTCATCAACCGCATATTATCTTACGCTCTTGTATTTGAAAATGCTATCAGGAAAACTAAACTTCCTTAGCGGTTACTAGAGGTTTTATTAATTTACTTTTTAGCGTCCATTTCAAAGCTTTAAAATATCTGAAAGAACTGACTAATTTAAGAACCAAAAAATGTAATTATTTCTTAGAACCCAAAAATTAACTAGTTGAAAAGAAATTTGGATTTAGGTTATATTAATAAAAATTAAAAATTCAAACCATGTGAATATTTTAAGAAAATGCGGTGGATAAAACGAATATTTTCACCATTTTTAGGATTCCGTAGGTACACAAAAAGGAACCCGAACCCGTCCGTCCGTCCGCGGTTCTTCTGAGACTCTAGGTGCTACAAATATGTAATCTGGGATATTTATAGATATTAATCAAGCCTAGAAAACTGTGAAATGAAATCTTAAAAAATACAATTAAATGGAGGATGATTTTTTTTACCCGTCTATTCCATCTTGTGGGTTATCGTTGAATAGTTCTTTCAAAAACACTGGGGGTGTGGAACAGCGTCTTTTCGATTTAGGGTTCCGTTTGCGTAATATTTAGCTATAAAATAGTATTTTTCACTATAATCATGTATCCCGATCGACTTCCTGCATGTCTTACCAGGTCGTCACTCCATCCAGTGGGGACGTAGTACACTTCGTTCGCCGGTACGAGGCCGCCATTCGAGAAACTTTTCTCCCCATCGGTTGTCGGTTCTTTGAGCTATATGGCCAGCGCATTGCCTCTTCAGCTTACTAATCTGTTGGGCTATGTCAGTCACTCTTGTTCTACTGCGAATATCCTCATTTCTAAGTTTATCACGCAGAGAAACTCCGAGCATAGTCCTCTCTATAGCTCAGCGTAGCTCCATAATGTTATTGTAAGCTGTTAAAAATAAAAAATAAACTATTGCTAAATCCAACTATGCATGCCCAAAGCGCATTAAAAAAATTACGTACATATAACATGATTATAGGGATTTTTTTAAGTAGTTTAAATACACACAAGTTTTCACTAATAACCTTATTATTCTTATTATACTTCCAATTTTCCAATAATTTTATGTCAAACTTCAATTTTAAAAAAAGTTTGGAAAATCCAAAAGTGCACAGCTCATAATGCTCATATGATCATCATATCATCATTCAGGTAACTCCATAAAGTTCAAGACGTATTTAAATATAAATATACTTAAATATATACATTCTACTTACTTTTAGTACGTACTACTATTATTTATTCTGTACTTTTACAATATTGTAATAAAAATCTCTGATTATTACAATAATCAAGTATGTATGTTTAGTTTTTGGAATATTTTGTATTTGTACAGCGATCTTTTTGAGCCGCTGCAATAACCAATACAGTATCCACTCACGACGGCGGTAAACGCCGAACTGAGTGAGGCAGTTAGACTGCCGCAGTCTATTTACAAAAAATAAATTAATACAAGGCTGCTAAAACACCGAAAATTTCGACATTTCGTAGCCGAAAATATTTTTAATAACTAAACAAAACAAAATGAAACTGCCATTTACATTCCATGGCTTCCCACATGATAGGTGAAGGGTTTAAAAATAGATTGAGTTAAATTATTAATATTTTCAATAGTTATCGTGTTTATCACTTCATGTAGACTTAATAAATCTACACCATAAGCCACTAAAACCACTTTTTTATGTAAAATTAGCAATTACTCGATTTAAAAAAAATATTAATAAGCTCAATAATCATTTATCTTTCTGACAATGTGCTTTTTATATCATTTAACCCGGCGTCATGGGGGTGGAAAAGTGTTACACGGACGTTGGGGTGGGTCTCACTGACCCGTATATTAATGTCAAAATTATTCCAATACTGTATAAATAATAAAGTTAATATTATTCGTGTTTAGTTCTATAGGTATCTAAGTAAATAAATGAAACACAAATATCATATTATATTTATGTTTTAATTACATTAAATGGAACTTTAAAAAAAGAACGACAAATGTCAACAAAATTTTTCTCTTCTATTTAAATGTAATTATATTATTAATTAACAATCAGCCTTAATGTTTTAATGTCACTTTTTTGTAGGAAACTAAATTAACTGAAGTACAAAAAAATCTAAATATCTTTGGTACAGTCAGCACAAAAAGGTACTATATGTTCTACACAGATATATTTGTCAATTGATGGCAATTGATGGATTATGTTTTCAGTTCTGGTTCTGACATTTCGTCGAAAAGGCGTCTTATACCACATCGTACCGTCTTTGCCATAATAAAAACCCGAAGAACACTCACGGTTTGCGTTTGAAGAACTAGACGATTCGTATGTACATTGCTCTTCTCGTGAACGACTTCTATGCAATAGAGTAGACAGTGACATGTCATCATCATCAGCCTCTGAGATATCATGTTCTGTGTCACTAGGATTACTACGCTCACTCAAGTGATCTTCTTTGTCACACACATCCTGGTCTGACAACTTAGAATCAGAGTCAAATTCTTGTAAAATTGCAAAAATACACTGTCGTTCTATCTCTTTGCGATCCATTTTTTACTAAGTACCTACAAAAATACAAATGAAATACATTGAACTATATATATCAGTAAATACAATTGTAAGCAACAACAAAAAATCAAATATAAAAGGATAAAAACACAGATAATAAGTAAAAAAATATCTATACAAAATGGCGTGAAATTGTTACACTGACTGCGGGGATGGGTCTCACGTACCTTATTCAATTTTGTGCACCTGTAACTCCCACTGCGGCTGTGCCACGACTAACATGTTGCTTGAGACGCATAGAACAACTCAACAGTTCCAGCTATTGAGAAGAAGGGCAACGTCGCACGCATAGTAACCGAACTAGAAGCGCAATAAAATGTGACGGGTCGCACAGACCCAACCCCCATGACGCCGGGTTAAATGTTCAATATGATTGTTAGATACGATTTCATGCGACATAACGTTGGAATCTTGATTTTTAGGCGCTAGTGGAACATACGTATAACATACAATATACACGAACGTACAATATAAGATATTGCATGTCTAGTCTTATATGAAGAAAACGACTTATATGCATTCCTACTATAGCTTTACTTTTTCATTTGCGGGATAGGCAGGGAGGATATTTCTTACTTACTTACTACTTTTACTTATTTTTTAGTTGGTACTTATTGTAGGCCTCAAAGTATCCATACAATCATAACTGTATGAGGCCATTCGTTACACTCCTGGTTTACGCGGGCGACCTCTGGATAGTTTAAGGCAGTGATGGTTTACGTGAAGGTTCGTTACGGTCATATATGTATATCTTAGGGTTGCACTGCCGGGAATATATAGATAGATCGATTTGATGTAAATTATATAATTTTTAAGATTGATTTTCTCAAATCTTTTTTGTACACCACACCCTATAAGTCTGTTTTGAAAATAAGTCCTTCAGTTACGATCTTCCCATTTGGGCCCATTTTTAGTCCTTATAGCGGTCAAACCGCGAACTCTATCACTTATTACGCTCATTATATTTCTGATGATGTTGGCTCTGCTAGCCTTTTGGCTTGTACAGAGGCCGCGAGCTAAAAAAGGGGGAATTTGTATCACACTACGTCGTTACTTGCGTATCGATGACGCCTAGGAGAGTTTACAGTGCACGTGGATGAGTTATCTAACGGCCGTCAGAATAGAGAGTGGTGGACCCAGACTCTGACGCCTAACTTGTATTGTTTCCATATTTTTGGCGGTGAGAACCGCCCTGGGACGTAGTTGTACGGTGTGTACGCGGTGTGAAGGGGTATGCGGCGCGCCCGTCTGCGGACTCGCTGCGTCCCATCCGTTGTTGTCCTAACAGTGTTTGTGTTAATAGATGAGTGTGTAGTGTTTATTTGTGAATGGTCGGCGACATTTCGGTCGTCGGTATCTAGCAGAACGGTGGGTTCGATTAGATCGTCACGGGGCCTCCGGAGGCTTTCCGTAACATTCGAAGTCGTAACGTAAGTAGCTGCGTTTACCACTAGCGGGTTGGGATGTGTCTCGGCCCTCTCGAAATAGCGCCGAGACATTTTCTTGAAATACTCAGAGATCATCAGAAGTTCACAGTGTCTGTGTAATTCGGAGTTTCGCTGATTGACGACTTGGAGGTCGTATAAATGCTTATGGGTCGCGTGCGCGAAAACTAAGCTTGCATAAGACATTATAAGTCTTACGCATGCATTGTACAGATATGGCTTGTGTCTTAAGGACAATTTGCTCTTTCTGTTAACTAGCGGGTGGAGGCAACTAGTGACGATTTTAGCACGATTGCGGACGTTGCGAATGTGTTTCGCGAATGTCATACCGTGGTCAAATGTAATCCCTAGGTATTTAGCCGTTAATTGCCCATCTTACGGCCGTACAGGGTGATCATACCTAACGATTTCTTGGAAATTTTTATTTTGAACATTGAGAGTGGAGGTACTTTTAAAGTGTATTTCTACAATTTTGTCAGGATTCACTTCGATTCTTCATATTCCCTCTATTCGATAGCGAAAGTGACGATTAGCAAGAAAGGCTCTGATGATGTGGGTGAGCCTATCAGGCACGTTAAGTTTATACAGCTTGTAAAGCAAGCCGTCGTGCCAGAATGTGTCAAACAATTTTGCGACATCGAAGAAGAGGGCACCGGATAATGTATTCTGTAAGGCGAGTAACTGGTCGGTATACGAGTGCTCGGGTCTGAAGACAAACTGCTCGTCTGGAAGAAGTTTGTTAGCGAAGATGTTTTTACGAAGGCGATTCAATATGAGTCGCTCGTAAACTTTCCTCAGTATGTGATTGGTCTGTAACTAGAGACTAAGTTGCGCGGTTTCCCCGATTTCGGGTTCCCATTACGTCTGTCTCTTTCCAGGCATCTGAGAAGGAGCAGTTCGAAAGAACAGCGTTGAATAAAAACTAGGAGGCATACGAGCGACACGCAGAGAGATTTCAGTACCCTGTTACTAATGCCGTCGGGGCCGGGTGCTGATTTCTTTTTAAGGTTTTTTATTACTTCTGTGACTTCGTTGACTGTCACAAGATCTAAGGGGTCGCCAGCAGTTGGTAGTGCAGACTTACGCTCGACCTCCGCTTCGACCACTGCAAGGAGCGGGATCTATCGGTTCGCTAGAGGCTCTTCAAGTACATTGGCTCTTTAAGCTGTCCGTGGGGTTTTCTAGTCTAATAAGAGGCGGCATAGGTGAGGATGGTTTTTCTTTCGGAGCTCGGGTGAACTGCTAGAAGTTTGTGATGGCTTTATATCCACCAGCAGATTATCCTACTTATCATGTCTAAGTTCTTTAAGGCGCTGTGTCACTTCATTTTGGAGGTTGCGCAATCGAAATTTGTTATGCTCATTATCAAGAATTAATAATAACTTAATAATTTGGGATTTGTTTTAATCTAATTTCATCATATTATGTTAATGTACAATTCCATCCGTCTCCTTGTTAGGTAGTTAAAGAAACTGAATCCAGGTAATCCTTAGTGAAAATTGAATAAGCTTAAAAAAATTCTTCACTCATTCACGCATGTTACAATCGGTAAATGTACAGTAGTAATACAGTCGTGAACCCTCACGTGCATTGCTGTCGTCGAGTACAAAAATATCTTGTAAAGATGCTTAATCCGCCAATATATGCTTTATAATAAATGCTTACATTATTATCATACCAGATACTAAACGCGAAAACAAAGTTTCTCGCCAAATTAATAAAATATCAAGAATGCTCATACCAACAAAGAAAAAAAGGAATGCTGCGTACATTGCAAGTGATGCAAAAAGCAAACCAAAACCATGCTCACCTTATAATAAGAAGGCGCAATCACGGACATGTATGCATAAAATTCATTTGCAACGATTAACATGGTCTTAAATGCATATGTATATAACCTTTACTAGCTTATAAAGAAATAAAGAAGTAAGATGTGTGCGTGAGTGCGTGTCAAAAAGTTGAGCATGCTTTCGGCTTCGAACTACCGATTTTTCCGAATACCTAAGTTCGAGCACGTCAAAAATACGAAACCACAAAATATGAAACATAAAAATAATAAACGCTAAATATCTCCGCCACCAACCAGACAAGAGAAGCAGTAGTTATACTAATTATTTGGTTTGCATTGTCATTACATGGCTATAATTAGTCCACGTTAGTGACTATGCTAGATCCTCCAAACTTGTTGAAAATTTGGAGATTCGTGCATAATAGCTACGTTTACAAGTTTGTAATAATGGCCTCCAGACATGATTCGGTCACGGCGGCCGGTATTAACGGAGACTAGCCATCTGCGTAAGACAGAATTATAGTGTGTAATTATACACGATGGGACGGTAACCCAACTACGAACGGAGAGAGGTAAGGTGCAGGATCAACGGCTTTATTATCCGAGGCACGGGGATGTAACACCGATAACTTCCTGACTCCTGACTTCCTGACTTCCTGACTGAGAATTTTTTACAGTAAAACCCAATAACTGATTTTGGTCCGACCCGAAATTGCAAGTTAAGCCACCTAACACTTCCATCTTTGATTTTTCTGTATCCGTAAGTGTTTTCGATTTTTGTTATATCAAGCGTGACAATTTAAAACGGTCGTCTATCTTTATGAACAATATATATAAATAGAACAACCACATAGATACACCATGTGGTTTTTCAAGTTTTGTTTATTCATAAAAAAGATTGGACTAGAGACAACAAAGGATTTGTACAAAGGAATTACTAATGTCATTTAGCGTTTAATTTCTTTTGATCTTTTACAAAGGTTACCGAGTGAAGTAAGACTGGATCATGTTTTCTATTACATAGTATTTTTTTAAATCAAGTGGAACGGTATACAACTAAAATTTTAGTACACATGAGAATGTGCTTTCTGAATTCTATCCCGGTTGTATGATTTATATAAACTAAATTGGATATTCTAGATACTCGTAGTTGATTTTTTCCCACCATAGTTCTTCTACTTTAAATGTTTATACGTCATACATAAGGGACTGAAAAAGCATGGATAATATCTAATATATTGATACAAATCACTCAAAAGTAAATTAAAAACTACTTTTAATTATTTTGATTTAATATTGTCTTATGTAAACATGACATTCACGTTATATCGCTTTGCACATAAAACTTAATATGTCGAGACGCCTGGGGTGTTTTCTAGTAAAATTAATCCACCTCGATGTCAAGGTTACGTCTATTTTATTTATACAATGTCTTTATAATGGGCCTTTGCTTTAACATATGAAACAGATTGAATCACTATGTGTAAATGACAAAGACATAAAAACTTACATTTCATAATATTATCCATTCAAGAACTCAACTATCTTTTACTTTGCTATACAAAATTATACCGTTACCGTTACCGTTATCGCCTATTTAAGTCCACCGCTGAATATTGGCCTCCCCCATAGACTGCCTCATAGGGGGGATATTTATCATATTTGCCACGCTTGGCAAGTGCGTTGGCAACCGCAGTTTTTTATTTTTAGTCGTTATTAAGGAGACCCTGCTGCCCATCTCCTGATTTGTTTCCCTCTGTCACCTCTTACGATACCCACGGCATGATATGCGGTAGTGGATATTCTTACTCCGCCACTACACGGTGGCACAAAATTAAAAATATTGCAGTAACTAGCTTTTTACCCGCGTTTTCGCTCGTGTTGGATTTAATTTAGAAATATCATTAATACTACTCCATTCCAAGTTAAAATTTCATAAATGTAGTTTTATTTACAATGAACGTGAGAGAGGATCTATATACAAGAACGGGAGTATAAATATAGAAAAGATAAATTACTACTACTAACAAAAATTATTTTGATTTGAATTGGTCAGTACTGGAGAAAAATCATAGGTAAAGACCTATTATCATAATTCAGGTTGCCGCACCTGAGGGTTAAAATGGAATGCCTCGTCTGCTATTTTAGGCTTGTATCCAGTGTGAGTAGTAGTGAGTCGTTCCCCAGTAGAGCCGACCCATTCGTGGTAAAGCTATAATGTAACTGCCATTGAGTTATATGTACTACGTACTAGAGAAGCCATTCCGAACATTGACTATGTTCAACTGAACTGTAGTGCAATCCATACAAACTAAATATTGCCAAATATGAAGATTTGTGAATTCCATAAAATAATTATTATCACATTTTATTTAGAAATATGTTTGTTTAGATTAAATTAAGATATTTTATATTAAATTCTTATATTTATTTTATATTAATATCTTATGGAATATAATGGAAGGGTTGGGGTGAGGAGGCTTGGTTGTGAAAGGATATTGGGAACGTTTGGTGATGAAAGTATAAATGAGAATGGTGAAAGCCTTCTCGCCGTATGCGTGGAAAAGAATCTTGTTGTGACGAACACTTTCTTTCGTCATAAGAAGATTCACACGTATACATGGGAAAGAGGTGATGATAGAAGTATGATAGATTTCATAATTGTTGATGAAAGAATGAGGAGCGCGGTGGTAGATACAAGGGTTTACCGGGGCTCTAACGTAGGGACGGATCATTACTTGGTCTTATGCCGAATTAATGGTCTTTTCAGACGTTGGAGGCATCGGACATCTGTGTCTACCACTGCGTTACAGCGTATAAGAACAGAGAGGTTACAAGATGAAGGTGTGAAAGAGAATTTCAAATGTAGATTGAGAGAAAATATAAGTAGTATGGCTGAATTGTGTATCAATGATTTAGACTTGGAAACTGTGTGGTATAATGACAAGAAAGGTTTAGTGGATGCAGCTACTGAAGTATGTGGTGTAAGTAAGAGAACGAATGAAAGGAAAAATAACATGTTATGGTGGGATGATGAGGTACGGATGGAAGTTGAAGCATAGAAGAAAGCATGGCTAGATTTACTAGCAACCAAGGCTAGTAATTCTAGCAGTATGAATGATGATATTGAAAGGAAAAAGGCAGTTTTTAGACACCTAAATAAGAGAGTAAAAGAAGTAGTTGAAAGGAAAAAGCAAGAAAGAACGGATAAGAATGATAGAAGAATATCGGATAACTTCCAGGCAAACATCAAAATGTTCTGGAAACTCGTAAGAACTACCAGGGGACATTCACAACAGCCTAGAATGAATAATATACGAGACCAGAATAGCTGTATTCTGAATGACGAAGTTTTGAGTTTAAGGAGATGGAAGGAATATTTTGAAAGCGTGTTTATGAGTGATGAGACGTTGAATTAAATGAAATAGAAATTCCGAAAGAAGAGGAAATAGATAGAGATATAAGTATAGATGAAATAATGAAAGCAATGAAAAGTATGAAAGCAGGTAAGGCAGCTGGTTATGATAGAGTATCTCTCGAAATGCTAAGGGCTGGAGAAGGAGTGGTGGCAGACCTGCTGTACACCTTGTTTAATTTATGTTGGGAACTTAAGCGGGTACCGGGAGACTGGTGCAAAGCCGTGATAGTCCCAATATATAAGGGAAAAGGATCACAGCAGGACTGTAAAAACTACCGTGGTATCAGCCTTCTTAGCATTGTGGGAAAACTGTATGCTAAGGTACTAATTGAAAGAGTTATGAAGGAAACTGGTGGAAAAATTTGGGATGTGCAAGCGGGATTTAGAAAGGGAATGGGATGTACGGATCAGGTCATTTCCATCCGCATGATCGTGGAGAAGTTTTTGGCCAAAAACCAAAAAGTTTTTTGTGCGTTCATAGACTTGGAGAAGGCTTATGACAGAGTGGA